GGAAAAAAGCAGTGTCAGTGAAATGAGGGGACTGAAAACTAGATTAAAAGTAAGATCTTCTACCTTGAATTCTGCAATTGAATTTCTTATTCAGTAAGCAAAAGGATATTAGATTGATGCATGTTTGTTTTAATTTCCTTACCTTATTTTGCAGAAGGGACTTCTAGGTCCTCACAAACCTTTGTGTGTCGATCTTCGTTCTTCACAGTAGATAGTGAGTGGCAACAGAATTTTAACTAATGAATTTACATTTTTATCTTTTGCTGTAAACATCAGAGAGTGTTCTGTTTTTAGATAAGAGCACATGTGTTAGATATAAAATGATGTATAAAGTAAAATTTCCTGGAGTAGGCTAGAGTCATTCTCTAATACCCATTTTAAGTGGATTTTTAAGGTTTTGAATATTGAATATAATAACTTGCATATTTCAGTTCCACATTATAGTGGATTTATTTTCTTATTTTACTCCATCTTCTGTAATATTGTTGGTTTACTGAAAATTTGTGCATCCTTAGGTTCTCTCTCAAATGTCATCATTTTGTAAATGTTTCATTATTTGTGGAACCTCTTTCTGGATCTATGATATGTTAATTCCTGTTCCCTGCAGATAGTGGAAAACAATATAATTTACTGAAATAGACATGTCATAGTAATGATTTCAAGCCTTCTTTTTGATTATTTTAAGACGTGGTCTTAGACAGAATAGTGTATAGTTTGTTTAATATTTCAACTGACAGCAGTGCACAATTTTCTTCATGGTAGATTTGTGTGGTTTAGAGTATGAGTCAAAATTTCTTTTTTATGTGTTTGATGTCGAACCTGAAGTGAGTTTGCTCACCCATTGCACAGCAAGCCAATCTCTGACACTAGGGGTAGTGGAAGAAAGTAGGAATTTTATAATTGCACAGCGCTGAGCAAGGAGAGAGGGCAGCTAACGCTGAAATCCCAAACTCCCCGAAAAGCTAAAAGGAAGGGTTTTTATTTGGGGTTTTAGGTTGTTGGGGGGGGCATATGGCCTTGCTGGTGGGAGCTTTCCCACCAGCCTGTCTTTGGCCTTGAGACTACTTGCAGAGAGGAGGGAGCCTGTGACCTTGCTGGTCAGCAGCTTTCCCACCAGCCTGTATCTCTGTGCAGGGAGGAGATAGTGAATCCAGGTGTTTGTCCTTGGCGGTGTCTGTCTCCATGGAGGATAGTGGATTCTGGAGCCGGGAAGCCAGAGAGTAAGCAGGGAATGAGTGTTTTGGTTTTCACCCCATATATGCTGGGTTTAATGTAGGGAAACTGATATCAGGGTCAGCATCCTGTTTTCTTAAGAGCAATAGGTAGGAATTTGTAGGTGGAGTTTATAAATTTTACTTACGATTATTTAGAAGATATCAACAAGAAAGGGTAAAATCTGCTGGAGCCTAAAGAAATAATTCATGCAACATTAGAGCTTAAAATCTTAGGAAAATGGCGTAGGTAATAGCATTTTTAATATCTAGTATGTATCTGTTCTTATTTTATCTATTTAATAAATGTTACAGTCTTGAAGACTAGTCATATAATCACTAAAGAATTTCTCATTCTTGAAAATGGGACAGCTCTATTCTAAATAAAATAGTGTATGAGTGAATGAGAGGGCTTTTAATTATTGCATACATGCTGCATAGATCTAGAATCATGAGGTTCAGGCCTTTAGCCCTATTTTATAATGTATTCATTTTTGTGAATTTTGTAGATGACTCTGGACCATATTTTCTCCATAAACAGACTTGAGATGTTGATTTTGACCTTTCAGTCAAAATAACAACTCTAAAATATTATAAGGCCTTGGGGCTGGCCTGGTGGTGTAGTAGTTAAGTTCACGTGCTCCATTTCGGCGGCCTGGGGTTTGTGAGTTCAGATCCCAGGCACAGACTTACACACTGCTCATCAAGCCATGCTGTGGCAATGTCCCACATACAAAATAGAGAAAGATTGTCACTGATGTTAGCTTAGGGACAATCTTCCTCAAGCAAAAAGAGGAAGATTGGAACCAGATGTTAGCTTTGGGCCAATCTTGCTCACCAAAAGAAATATATATATATATTATAAAGCCATTCATTATTTATGGTTTAGGTGAGAAAAAAATATATATGAAATCACCTTATAGTTTAGAAATACGTGTATTGACATAAAGTGTCATTATTATAATTTTTATTATAATACCCTACCTGTTTATTGACCATGTATTTTACATTTTAAATATAGGAGCCAAGATACTTCCTATATTATGAAGTAATATACCTTGATAATTAAATTAGGCACCAGTTGGTGATATATAGTGTAAGCCTCTCTCCCTTATTTCTACCCTGCCACTTAGTATGTAACTTGGTCTGTAACCTTAATGATGCTGGCATTGGTGCTCTAGGAGATCCTTTATCATTCCTTTACATGGAGGACTCCTAAGAAAAATCAGCTCAAAATAGTAACATTCTAGCTCATATTATTCTGCAATGTATCAAGACATGAGTGCCTCTAAATGCCATGTACCAAATGGTTCTTTTTCACCACTCTATTTTTAGATTTAGCTCTTATTTAATGTGTTCCTTTTTTGCTTCTACCAGGTTATATAGCATAAAAATAAATGTCTAATTTGTTCAGTTTACACTTATTGAGCAGCACTCTGTATCAGTCACTGTGCTAAGGCCTGGTTTCTCCAAAATCAGAAGACACAGTGCCCAACTTCAAGGAATTTCCAGGCTATTTTTTTGGTACACAGACATGGGAACAAAGAATTACAGTATAATGTGGGCATTCTTGTAATGGAGGTCTGTAGAGTGGGAGATTAGGAAGAGTGGAGGGTGTCTGCAGTGAGTTTGTATAGGAAGGCAAGGTCCAGATTAGGAAGGGCCTTGAACACTATGTAAAGTTTGGATTTTATTCTGTCATAAATATGAAGAATCATTGAAAAATTTTGAGATAGAGTATGACATCAGAATTTTTATGTTGGGGGAGATGAATTGGAGGGGATAATGACTAATAGCAGGAAAACCATAAAACTGCTTTAGTCCAGATGAGAGATATTTATGGCCTGATTTAGGAAGATGGCAGTGGGAAATGAGAGGAAAGGATGTATGTAAAAAATAATTCAGAGGACCAATTGTTTGGACATAGAGATTCGTTGGATGCAGGGATATGAGGAAGGTGGATAAATCTAAGATGGCTCCCGTATATTTGGTTTTTATACCAAGATAGATGGTGGTGCCGTTCATTGAGACAGTGAATGCAGCAGGGAAACTCATGGAGGGGAAAATGAGGAGTTGTGTTGTGGACATGTTGGGATGTGTAGATGGGTCTGGCATTCATGAGGGGTGTCTGAATTGGAAATATGGGGTGTTAGATGGTAGTTGAAGATATGGGCATGGATTAGATTATTCAGTTAGAATGTAAAGAGTGAGGGGTAAGGGGACCAGGGAGGGCTCCCTGGAGTGGAGAGCAACTATATTTTAGGATAGTTGGAGAAAGTGCCTGAAAGGGCACTAAGAAGGAATGGACAAAGAGGCAAGAGAACCAGGAGAGAGTGATGTATACATACCAATGGAGAATGAAAGAAAGAGGATCATATAGAGAGACTATAGGGTAACTCAAGTTACTTTAAGGAAGTTTTAGAATATAGTAAGGACGTGTGTGGCCTGGTATTAGACCCTATCAGGAACCAGGCGACTTAGAGGACTGACTCTTTTCCTCTCTCAATGGCTGCATAATCTGTTAGGGGACTTTGCTTCCCTTTGCACATTTGTCTCTGCTTTCTCTACTTGCTTGTAATTTCTGTTCTGTCGTAATTTCAACTGGGTTGTAGCCCATTATGGGCTCTCCTCTCCCTCCTTGATATAGTCAAGACTTTTTAGTTTTTGTGCATTCCCTCATTTTCTTGGTATCCCTTACTTAAAAGTCTGGAGAGGGGCTGGCCCAGTGGTGTAGCAGTTAAGTTCGTGCACTCCGCTTTGGTGGTGCGGGGTTCACTGGTTTGGATCCCAGGCACGGACCTACTTGCTGCTTATCAAGCCATGCTGTGGTGGCATCCCACATAAAAAATAGAGAAAGATGGGCACAGATATTAGCTCAGGACCAATCTTCCTCAGCAAAAAGTGGAGGATTGGTAGCAGATGTTAGCTCAGGGCTAATCTTGCTTGAAAAAAAATCTGGAGAGAAGAAATCTTGTTAGTCTAGTTCATCATTTGTATCAGGCCATTTCATAGGTGATTAAAGCTGACCCAGTCTATAGTCTGGCCAATCACTTACGAAGTACCTTGAATAGTCTTGAAAAATGTGTCCACTCTGGATTTCCACTTTGGGATTTGGGTAAAATCCAAGTGATATTAGATTAAGGTGTGCTTTGCCGTGAGGAGATAGAGGTAAAAGGGCTAGGCTCTGAAGAGAGTAAGAGACTAGTGAGAGGAACACAGGATCAAGGAAATCAAGAAAAGCGTTTTGTTTTGTTTTATTTTGTCTTTTAAGATGGCAGAAGTTGGAATATAGAAGGAGTTAATGAATAGGAAATGGTTGAAATAAAGAGAGCACTTAATGCTTTGATTGTTGAAGCAGTGTTAGGGTGGCAAGGAGATGGGAGTCCAGAGCACAGGAAGATCGATTAGCCTGTGTAGGAAGAAGGATACCTCTCCCTCAGCAATGAGGGTAAAGAAGAAAGGAGGAGTGGCATGCAGATAAGTTTGGAAGTAGGGGGACCTTCCCATTAGTACATTTTATGAAATAGGCAACAAAGAAAAAAAGGTAAAGATTTCCAATAATTGCTGAGGAAAATTTAAATAGGAGCTTAACAACTAGGGATATGAGGAAGTGATTTTTCCCCCGCTGCAGCCCATATGTGAGTTGAGAAAAGGTGGATGATTGAACTAGTCCACAGTTGCAGTGGACTTAACTTGTGACTTGGTAAGAGTTAATGCTTGTTCTGTTTTTTCCTATTGGTTTGGTTCAGCTGTTTTTTTCATTCTTGTCTTCCATATTTTTTTTTGTAGGTCTTGATGACTGTTTGCAGCAGTATATCAAGAATTTCGAAAGAGAGAAGATCAGTGGGGACCAGCTGCTGCGCATTACACATCAGGAGCTAGAAGATCTAGGGGTCAGCCGCATTGGCCACCAGGAACTGATCTTGGAAGCAGTTGACCTTCTGTGTGCACTGGTAAGGACAAAAAACTGGTGGGAAGGGAAATTTCACTTTTTTTCTTGTTTTCTTTTTTTGTTTCTTTCCTTCTCTTTTTTAAAATAATTGAAATGCAAGTAGAAAAAAAAAAAATCCCTAATTCTCAACCAACTGGATGTGATATTTTCCTCCATCATTGAATTTGCTGTATTATAGGGTGCCAGATTACAAATTAAAGAGGCTTATAACTCCACTGGTGACACTACATTTACTTACTTGAAAAACTTAGAGCTCACCAAGGGAGTTTTCACAGCAGCATTTGGGATATACAATTGTATATCATCAGTTATAAAGTCCATTCCCGTCTAAAAATTTTGATTTAGTATAACAAATATTAAGTAATCCTATTTTAGAAAAATCATCCTTAAAATAATCAAATTATTTGAGTGTTCTTTATGTATACCTCGAGTGAAAATTGAATATTGTACCTTATGTGGTTACTTCTGTATGTTTAAAGAGCAGTACCTAGTTAGGCAAGAGAAATCAATATTAAAATAATCCTGAAAGATTCTGATAGTACATTAGATATTCTGAGAGGAACATAGATTTTTTTCCATGTTAGGTAAGATGACACTAGCCTGATTGATTTTAAATTCTTCCAGATGTCTGTGAGGGATCTAAAGCTACAGTGAGAAAGAACATGAGTCTTGTAATAGAATAACCTGAGATTGAAATTTGGCTCAGTTACTGACACTTGTGGGCAAGTAATTTCACCATAGCTTAGTTCTTTTATTTAAAATGGAGATAATAACAACTACCTCTTGGTGATGGTGTGCAAAGCAAATTAGCTAGTGTTTCTTTAGTGGCTGATTCAGTGCCTGGTGCACAGTAGGTATTCAATAAGTAGTAATATTATTATGTTATGATGTATTATTATGTTATAGATGATGATTAATAGGGAATGAGTAGATAATTAAACGTAATTCAAAAATCAATTAGTACACTCAGCACTGTGTATTTGATGTAAAATCTAGTTCCTGTCCTCTCGAAAAGCCTAGTGGGGGGAGAGTGACATACAAATAATTAATCACAATACTGTAGTAAAATACTAAAATAAAAGTATGAGCTAAGTATTATGTGGGCATAGAAGAGAAAATAATTATCTTTGACTCAGGTACACGGACTCATATTGCAAAAGCGGTGGTGTTTAAGTAGCCAAGTGGAGGATGAACATGTGTTTGGTAGATGAAGGAACAGGGGAAGGACATTCCAGGTAGATAAAACAACGCATACACAGGCATACAGAATAATGAGCATGCCTGGTGTGTTTGAAAAATAGGTGGGAGAAAATTAGGCTTTAAAAGATAGACTAGGACCAGACTGTAAAAGTACCTTAACATCATGATAAGAGATTTGTACTTCATAGTGTGGATAACCACGCAAGAATGATGAAATACATGTTTTCAAAAGGTAACTGATGGTAGTCAAATGGATAGAGTAAGGTGGGCATAAACTGAAGACAGGGCTAACGATTAGGAAATGTGTAAAGTAATCTACTTAGGGTCTGAATAGGGCTTGAACTGAGGATGTTCAACAGAAATAGAGAAGATCTGGTGAATATGAGGAGTGAGATAAAGGAAGGAATTGAGAAAGATTTTCTCTCCTCTGGCTGCAGAGATAGAGTAGGTGATTTTGCAATAACAAAGATAGGCAATAGCAGCAAGAACAGATTTAAGTGGGAATATGAATTGAGTTTTGGAGTTGTTGAATTTGAGACGTCTCTGGATTATCCAGAAAGAGATACTCCTCAGACAGTTGAACATAGGAATTTGGAGCTGAGAAGTGACTGAGAATGTAGATTTGGGAGTCTCAAGGATATGGGGATTGAATCCACAGAAAGAGAAATCACCCAGGGAGGGCCTGTGGAATATAAAGAACAAAGAATGCAGCTGGACACTCAGGCTGGGAAAGAAGAGGAGACTGCAGAGGATGCTTATGAAGTGGTCAGAGAAGCGTGAAGACAACTCAGAAAGGTTGTCACAAAAGCAACGGAGAGTGTTATTTTCATTAAGCAACGTCAATAATGTCATCAAATTTCACTAAAAACCAACAGGATAGGCAAGGAAAAAAGACCTGGTTGAAAAAAGTTTCTAAAGAAGAATAGAATCTGAAACCAGATTGGTTGAGTAACACCTCCCACTTATACATTTTAGTCTTACCTTAATTGTCATTTCCTCAAAGGGACGTTCCCTGATCATTCCTCATCCTTGCCTGGTCTAAAATTAGCCCCTCACTGTTATTCTCTTTCTTAACCCTCATCTCATTTTGTAATTATATATTTATCTGTGTATTTATCAGTTTACTGTCTGTTTCTTCCACTAGACTATAAGCTGTGTGGGAAGAGTGACTGTGCTTATTGAACACCTAGTGTGTAGCACAAATGCCTGGCAAAATGGATGCTGAATGAATATCTTTTGAAACTAGCAATAAAGGAGACTTGATACAGTTTTCACATGATAGTTTGGGGATCCTCTTATTTCTCTATTCCTGTTATAAGAGAAATCAATTCAGACCAGAACACGCACATGCACTCTATTCCTTATCTGAATCAAATCACAGAAATCGTGCCTGAAATAAAAGATAGTACTCAGGGTAAGATAAGAGTCCACAGTGATTTTTGCATACCGGTCTCCAAATCCAAGTCAGGCATGTAGGTGCAATAGAAGTGGCTTAGAGCTGGGCATCTGATCTAGCAGTCCCCTATTTGACACATCTTCTGTAACAGTAATAGTTGGATGTGTCAGAGCTTAAAGTCCAGGGTGTGTCTCTCATAAACTAGACTTCACATAGATGAACCGTTAATGTGCTGGGCTCCACATTGCCAATTTGAAGAAGGAAATAAGATTGATGATTAAGGTGCTGCCTATAGATAGTCTAGACCTGTAGCCTTTGGAGTTTGGCCCATAAACAATCTGCTGACCTAAACTTACTTAAAAGGATGGCATCAGAGATATATGTCCAGACCATTTTAATGTTTGAGTCATGGAGTTATGGTAAATAAATATTTTCATATGCTGAGTTTTAATCCCTCTACGGTTCTGGGTTTATGCACCATAGTGTTGCACCATCTTCTTGGGAAAAAATAAAACATTAAATTCGTTCTGTGTTTATTCAGCAATAAATTGGTCACATTCCCCAAAGAGGTCAAATGTTAAACTTCCTTTTCACCACTTCCTAGTGGCTACACATCAGCAAGTTAAAAATGCAGATATCTTCTAGTTTATGGAACAGATGTTTTCCAGTGAAGATAAAGCAGATTTCTGAGCAATGAATTCTGATTTATTTCTACATGCCCCTATAAAATCAGAAGGTGAGATCTCTTATCAGCAAGGTGTGTTGACTAGACCAGGAGTTGTGCTGTTGGGAATGGGGAACTGTGTTTTCTCTTTGAAAGTAATGTCTACTGGCCTTTCTACTTTTTCCTTATGTCTGCTGTATTTATTTCTACTTTTAACAATTAGATGTTCAGGCTCAAACAGCACTACTACGGGGAATACAAAGATGAAAAAGGCATAGTCTGCACTCTTAGGATGTATACAGTCCAGTAAAGAAGACAACAGTTATTAAATGATTGTAGATTTAAAGAAAATCCCAGAAGAGTTCAGAAGGAAACGATGAACACTACTGAGGGGTCCAGGAAGTGTAGGTGGGATTTGCATTGGGACTTGCAGCATGAGTAGATGTTTGCAAGACCAAAAACTCGGGGAAAAGTTATCTAAGCAGAAGAAATATTGTGTGTAAAGACAGAGTTGTGAAAGAATATGGAGTGTTCAGAGAAAAATGGGAATTTTGATATGGCTGGTGCAGAATGGGAAGAGATGGGAAGCAAGGCAACTTATACTTTGTATCACACTATAATTCTTTGCTTAGATTTTTCAGTCCTCCAATATGCTTTCTGCCCAGTGCTTAGCTCATAGAGGATGTTAAATTAATGTTATCTTACTGAATGAAGTTCACTGCCTTTCTCCAGAGAAGTAATTTTTTCTCTTGCATACACAACCTCTGACTCTGAAGTTTCTGTTTTTAGTATAAGGAAGACACAAAAGAATTACCAAATTTCTTTGTTTCTTTTAAGGTATGGAATATTCATTTGCCTTGTCTTAAAGTTAGTCCTGATGGGGAATAAATGTTATAGCAGCTGATGAAAATCAAAGGTTTATTTAGTAATTTGTTCATTAATACAACTTAGATTTATTAAGCACCAACTGTATTGTTTGTACCATGTTATTCCAGAAAGAGGTAAGCTGATCATGATTTGGAGGTATATTAACTCTTCTAAGCTGTTATGCTATCATTTAGTATGCTTCAGTAGAGAGCACAGCACAGTGACTGAAATAATAAAGCATAAATAAAATATTTATAGTTTAATGTATAGCCATTAATTCATATTCTGACAATACACCTTTTATTGAGAAGTATAAGTGAATTATTTATGACAGGATAAGAGCAGTTTTCATTTCATTCTTCATGTACTTTTCATTTAATAGGTATTTTGCATGAAAATTTTGATGTTTGCAATTGCTAGGATTTGTTTCTTTGCAACATAATTGCTTGGTTCATTCATCTCAAAATAATTCATTTCTAAAAAAATTCATTAAAGCAATCCTTTTAGGACTCACTCATGTTTATAAAACAAAATATTATAAGACCTAAACACCTGCTACATGATGCATTCAAATTAAGAGCTCTGAATAAAATAGCATTGACATTGTAAAATATGTGGTGCCAGTATTTGAATATGTTTAGTTAAGTGTTTAGTGAGAATTTGCCATTAGTGAGGATATAGTGAACTCAATTTTCTAAAATATCAAGTGTATTCCTTCATTTCTTTCGTGTGCTTTTGTGTGCATATAATTGAAAGAGAAGAATAGTCTGAACTTAGCACTAATTCCTTAACACTAGACTGGCTATTTTGGATCAGTGTAGAGTCATGACTGGTTCCCCGCAGACATGTTATTGACCAAGTATATGACCAAATAAGTAACATAGGACAAAGAAAATAGCTAAGTACATTTCATGTCCAAGCTTTTGTTTTCTGGAAGTAGTCCTTTCTATACCAATAGTAATGCCTGGTTTTCCCATGCATATCCAGTAAGGAGCAAGTCTGCAATGAATAAACAGGCATATGTATATATTTTTTTTTGCTGAGGAAGATTCACCCTGAGCTAATATCTGTTGCCAATCTTCCTCTTTTTTTGCTTGAGGACAATTAGCCCTGAGCTAACATCCATGCCAGTCTTCCTCTATTGTGTATGTGAGTCACTGCCACAGCATGGCCACCAGTGAGTGGTGAAGGCCTGCACCCAGGAACTGAACCCAGGCCGCCAAAGAAGAGTGCACTGAAGTTAACCACTAGGCCATGGGGCAGGCCCATAACAGCATTTTTTAAAAGTTGAGGCAGTACTTCTTGTCTGTATACCTTTGGCTAAAAACAAAGGTGTGCTTCATTTACTTGTCGCTTCTTTACATTTTAGGCAAAGGAGTGTGATTTACTGGTGACTTAGAGAGTCACAACAAACCATCCACTTTCATGAAGGAAATAGCAAGAAGATATCTGTTGTTAGTAATTGATTTTGAGCTACTTAGAACTGAGAACTGTGATGATAAAAATTAACTTGAGAGATTGACTAATCCATCCTTTTTGTGAAAATAGTACCACATAGACACTGTTATGTACAGATGAGCTTCTAATCTATTTTTATATTCTTTGGAATTTTTTAAAAAATGCTTTTGAATTATCTGTTTAGTTATATTTGTTAACTAGAATAAGTTTTAAAAATTTCGCTTTCCATCCTCTACTATATATCTTTTTTCTATCTTTTTTCTCTTCTTGCCACTGCATTCCTCTGTCTTCCTCATTTTTCACCCGTGCTCCACACAGGATATTTTTAGTAGGTTATTAGGAGGCCTTCTCAGAGTTTTGTCCAGAAGAGTTTTCTATTCCCTAATTCTTGAGTTGTATTAAAAAAAATAATTTCACTATTATCTTAAATTTTGAAGGCTTTAAAGTATTTTTACTTTGCTTTCAGGTTTTTATTTATAGGAAGATCTGTATTATTATTTTTAAATTATTTTTACCTTTTCTAATAAAATATTTACAATGCTAATATTATATATAAAGAGATAATTTAGGGGCTGGCCTGGTGGCATAGTGGTTAAGTTTGCATGCTCTGCTTTGACGACCCAGGGTTCACAGGTTCAGATCCCAGGAGTAGACCTAGCACTGCTTGTCAAGTCGTGTTGTAGTGTCATCCCACATAAAATAAGGGAAGATTGGTACAGGTGTTAGCTCAGGGCCAATCTTCCTCACCCACAAAAAAAAAAGGAGAGAACAAGAGAGACTTTTTTTTTTTTTAAAGATTTTATTTTTTCCTTTTTCTCCCCAAAGCCCCCCGGTACATAGTTGTGTATTCTTCGTTGTGGGTTCTTCTAGTTGTGGCATGTGGGACGCTGCCTCAGCGTGGTGTGATGAGCAGTGCCATGTCCGCGCCCAGGATTCGATCTAACGAAACACTGGGCCGCCTGCAGCGGAGCGCGCGAACTTAACCACTCGGCCACGGGGCCAGCCCCATGAGAGAGACTTTAAATTCATCTTCTGTGGGGGCTAATGGCTACAGAGTGAAAGTTACATTACCAATTTGATTGAGTAGGTCCCTCTCTAGTAAACAATTACAATTTGAGCTTCTTTACGAAATTATTATAATTTATTTGTAAACAAATGTATCCTCGCTAAAATCATTAATATACAAAAATGAAAAATACAAACACTGTTGTACTGCATATGCTTTAATGCTTTAACACAAGGAAAAACTTCTGAAAATTCTTTCAAGCACTTCAGAACTATCATTTGAATTTAGTTGATATAAATTGTTCTTATCTAGTCATTAGAGAATATCTTTAATAAACTTATAAAAGGATTTACTTCTTAATATAGTGACAAGCTGGATAAAAATCCCCAAGTGTTTCATAGATAATCCATGCTCAGATGCAATAGAATTTGAATAGAATGTTTTATTTGTGCAAACCAAACCTTTTAACTTGATAGACTACTGCAATTCATATTTTGTAGTGAATATTTACTGTTTTTTTAAAAAAAGAAATCCATGGCTCAAAAAAAGAGCTCTTTTAATAAAAATGTAAATTCCCAGCAAAGAACAATCAGACTTTATTAAACCTTTAGTGGTAATATACATAACTTGGTATTCAATGTTTATGCATCCAAACCCTCATCTAGTCCCTCCTTTTTTCTCCTCTAAGATCTTTCTTTTCTTAAATTACCATAGAAAAAATAAACCTAAATTTCATATGAAGTGCATACCTAGTGGTTGTTGACTTAATAATACAGCTAAATTTACTGTGCCATTTGCTTCCCCTTTTCACTCCCCCAATATTTTGTATGCTTTCTTTTATTTGCTGAGGAAGATTGGCCCTGAGCTAACATCTGTTGCCAATCTTCCTCTTTTTGCTTGAGAAAGATTTCACCCTGAGCTAACATCTGTGCCAGTCTTCCTCTATTTTGTATGTGGGTCGCTGCCACAGCATGGCCACTGACAAGCGGTGTAGGTCCATGCCCGGGAACCGAACCCAGGACTTCAAAACAGAGCACACCAAACTTAACCACTAGGCCATGGGGCCGGCCCTCACCCCAAGTATTTTTTCTTCCATTTTACTTCATCTGTTGTCACCACCCTGCTTGAACAGGAGTAGAGTATTGGTGCTAAGGAATTGTGGTAGAGACATCCCCTCACAGGTGGCCTGGTGACTTGTAGTCCCATTCTGAAGTCTGACTACTCTACACTCAGCTCTTTAAGCAAACCAAAAAATTCTCCTTGTCTCACTTTCCTCAACCTAAAAGGAGGGTAAATAAAATTTAGAATTTGTTTGGGCCTCAGATAGTATCTAACATTCTTTAGGGTCTGTGGTTTTCTTTTAATTTTACACATGACCGTAACGTACATGCTGCTAAGTAGTTTGATCAAGGTCATCCTTTGATCAGGTTAACCAGCCTTTCTTAGAGGTGTTTTGCAGCTCACAATTAGCAGTTTTAAAATTAAATTTATAAATAAAAATTTAAAATTGTAACTTATGAAGCCTTTCCTAAAGTTTATTTGAAAGGATCCTACAATATTTTCCTATTGAATATGGTAAAAAGCTTATTTATATTTACTCATATAGCTTCTTTCTGCAATAATCTATAGACAAAATATTTAGGGTGAAATAATAAATATTACTGGAAATTGAAAAATGAGACCAAGGAAAAGAAGAAAACAAATATACTTACCAAAAAGTCACTATGATTGCTTTAGATATGCTTCATGTTTGACTGTGAGCTAATGTAACCATGAGAAAAATAAGAGTAAGTTTAGTTTTATAATTTGTATTATAAGAAGGAAAAAGTGTATTGGTTCCCCTGATGAAGCAGAGTTTTTCCTGGTACTATATTATGGTTTGATGAGCAGTGCCACGTCCGCCCCCAGGATTCAAACCAACAAAACACTGGGCCGCCTGTAGCGGAGTGTGCAAACTTAACCACTTGGCCACGGGGCCAGCCCCCCTGGTACTATATTATGAAAGAAATTTCTTGTGAGTCATTATGGAGAGGACACAGAGTAAAGGTATATTGCATATGATTTATTTTTTGCTTTTTCATTTTATTGTTGAGTTGTGCTTACTTTGCTCACTTTGGGAAAGCAGAACTTTTCCTAGTATGCATATGCTTTATGCATATGCTAATAGAATAGATACTCAAAAATAATTGTTGATAATAATGAATTTCACAAGTAAGTGAACTTAGGTTTGGGTAAAAAAAAAAAACAAAACATGTACATGCACTTATGAGACCTTATAATCTTTCTGTCTTGGGTGGCATAGTTCCAAGATATAATGCCCTCATCTTTCCATGTTCATATTAGTACTTAACACATTTTATTGTAATTTGTTTATCTGACATTTCACCAAATCCTCACTTGGCTGTGGGTTCTGCTGGGCCAGGCGTCCTATTCTTATTCATTTGTAACTCTTAAAACTGGGTCCATTGCCTGTATATAGTAAAATACTCAGTAAATATTGTAATTAAGAAATAAATATTCAGTTTAAGTATATTTGTTCTCTCTCTTTTTATTCAGAATTATGGCTTGGAAACAGAAAATCTAAAAACCCTTTCTCACAAGTTGAATGCATCTGCAAAAAATCTACAGAATTTTATAACAGGGAGGAGAAGGAGTGGCCATTATGATGGGAGAACTAGCCGAAAATTGCCAAACGACTTTCTGACTTCAGTTGTGGATCTGATTGGAGCAGCCAAGAGTCTGCTTGCCTGGTTGGACAGGTAAAGTCTTCCATATGTTTCATAAGTAATCCCCCTCAGACACCAGTTTGAATATAACATTATTTCATGTTTTCTTGTGAAAGGATTAGACAGGCAGAGGAATATCAAGTAACAATTGTCTAATTATGATTCATCACAACATAGGGGTATCATCAAATAGGTATTGATCATTTGTAAAATTTTATATCCAGCTAAGTAGACAATTAATAATTGGTCCCTGACAATTTCAAAATACCTTTGCTGCTTTATAAACAAAGTCATTTTGGGTTGTCATAAGATGTATACTACTACTTTATCTCCTGAGTTTCTTTATTCTTTTTATTAATTGGTCATATTTAAGGACCATTAGGATTCTATTTAATGTTGTAAATGGGTAATTAGATGCTGACACTTTCATAGCATGCATTGCATATCTCCTTACCCCTGCTTTATTCATTCTTTGTTATATTGCACATTGTGCAGTCGGTTTTGGATGTCGTAAACACAGTTTTAGATCTTTTTTTCTAGTCTAGTTAATTTTCATTTGCCTTGGAACACAAAATAACACAAAAGTTTTCATAATATAAAATGCAAAAAAGTTAGATTAAAATTGTATGTCGTTAAATATAATGGTAAAAAGATTATAGCTGTTTAAAAAAATGAAATAAGCCTTTACTTTCATCTTTGAAATGTTTTTATAAGCGGTATGTACTGTATTATATGGTTAAATAATCAAATTTCAAAATACACTTTGTCTCTCATAGTAAGCTCTGATAATATACAATTTTACCAGAATTCTTTCTTGAATAAATGTCAGGAAGATATACGTGTGTGTGTGTGTGTGTGTGTGAATGTACACACACATTATATTTTGGCTTTTTAAAACTATGAGCCCTTATATCAAAAATAAAGTATTTGTATTTTTAAGATAAAAGTTAAGGTAATTTTACTCAATTCTGTATTGTCTAAATTTATATATATTAATAACATAAAACATGATGATACTAAATACAAATCTGAACACTAAGCTGTATAGTATTAGCTTTTTGACAATTAATTGGTGGATAGCATGTTTCTTTTGCATTATATCATTAAAATTTAGTTGTCATAATTGTCTAAACCACATTTATCAATTGTTTAAAGTAATTGTACTTTAAATGTATAAATTCTACAAGTTATATAGTGGTCAATAAGTAAATTATATTTAAAATATGGCTTAGTCCTTAGGTAATGCAATAAACTTATTTCAGGAGGGCTTCTCAGGAATCAGAAAGCTTAAAGCTTTAATTATAGTTGATTTTAGTTATACTATCACCTATCCTATAATTGTAAATTTACTCAGCCTCTATATTTGTATATAGCAAATTTAATTATATTTCTTTATACTAGTACTTGTTAAATAAATAAATAGAATGATTAGAGAATATTTTTAATGACAAGTGTGACTTTATAAAATCACATAAATGGCTTCTAGAGCACTAGAAGAGTTTCTGAGATTTTGTTATTTAATTTTTTATGGTATCATTTTTATCATCTAATAAGATGCTCTTAGTAAATGCCAAGTCTCCTACAAGCACACGTGCGTGCACACACATGTACAAAAACATGCAGACATATACATAGCAATCCATGAAGTGAATCAATGGTGTTTTGTGTTTGTTTCATAGGAAGAGAAAATGTAACAAAAAGCCTGAAGGAAATAACTTAAATCATCTGTTTGGCTTCCTTTGCTGCAAAGGTTCTCACAATGGTTGTTTTGTGTTATATCATATCATGGTGATCAATTAAATCAAAGGCCGTCTAACATTTTGACCATAAAAGTACATGGAAGGGAAAAAACAAGGCAACTTTGTGATAACTTTAAAAATCTTCTACTGAGACTGTAAACTGAGAAAAGAAACCGAAATTTATATATATATATATATTTAACTTTTCATTGAGATTATGATAGTTTACCATCTTGTGAAATTTCAGTTGTACATTATTGTTTGTCAGTCGTGCATAGGTGCACCCCTTCACCCTTTGTGCCCACCCCCACCCCCCTTTTCCCCTGGTAGCCACTAATCTGTTCTCTTTGTCTACATGTTTAACTTCCACATATGAGTGGAGTCATACAGAGATTGTCTTTATCTGGCTTATTTCACTTAACATAATACCCTCAAGGTCCATCCACGTTGCTGTGAATGGGGCGATTATATCGTTTTTTATGGCTGAGTAGTATTCCATTGTATATATGTACCACATCTTCTTTATCCAGTCATCAGTTGATGGGCCCTTAGGTTGCTTCCGTGTCTTGGCTATTGTAAATAATGCTGCAATGAACATAGGGGTGCATGGGAATTTTGGAATTGCTGATTTCAAGTTCTTTGGGTAGATACCCAGTAGTGGGATGGCTGGGTCATATGGTATTTCTATTTTTAGTTTTTTCAGAAATCTCCATACTTTTTCCCATAGTGGCTGCACCAGTATGCATTCCCACCAGCAGTGTATGAGGGTTCCTTTTTCTCCACAACCTCTCCAACATTTGTCACTTTTTGTTTTGGTTATTTTTGCCATTCTAATGGGTGTAAGGTGATATCTTAGTGTAGTTTTGATTGGCATTTCCCTGATGATCAGTGATGTTGAACATCTTTTCATGTGCCTATTGGCCATCTGTATATCTTCTTTGGAGAAATGTCTGTTCATGTCCCCTGCCCATTTTTTGATCAGGTGGTTTGATTTTTTGTTGTTGTGTGAGTTCTTTCTATATTATGGAGATTAACCGTTTGTCGGATATATGACTTGTAAATATTTTTTCCCAATTAGTGGGGTTTCTTTTGTTTAAATCCTGTTTTCTCTTACCTTGAAGAAGCTCGTTAGTCTGATGAAGTCCCATTTGTTTATTCTTTCTGTTGAAGAAACCGAAATTTGTATTTTGAAAATCTTTCACTGAAAAGTTCAGCTCCAGGCTGGCTTGCCTATAATGAGGATTTTTTTTTAACAGCTTAAGTTTTAAAAAGGAAAGAAGAAAGGAGGAGAAAAAAAGAAAAAATTCTTGGCTATGCTGAGGCATTTGGACTTTCTGCTGAAGGCAGTGGGAAGCTGTTTAGGGTCATTGCTGTGTCAGACCTGTGAATTTTGAAGATTACATGAGCTATAGTGTTGGGAAAGATTAGAGAAGAGTTATGTTGGAGGAAGGGAAACCAGTTAAAAGGCTATTTTAGGAATTAATCATGCTTCTGCACTGTTGGTGATTCAGATGCTAATACCGCCAGCCTCGCTCACTTAATCAGAGGGACCCTAGGAGGGTTGGCTTCATTTTACGGATAGGAAAACTAGCACTTACAGAGGATAAGTTCAAAACCAAATGGCAAGTAAGTGGTGGAGCCAGGATTCAATCCAGGCATCTGACTACAGAGCTGATTTTCTCCACTACTATTTATTGAGATTTTTAATAGAGAAGCAGCAATGAGGATAGAAGAATGTGAGGGATATTTATGCCGATAAATAAGACTCTGTGACAGGTAAGATCTAAGAGACTAAAGAAAAAAGAGACATCTGGGGTGAATAAGAGGTATCTGACTGCTGACCCAGTGGATGGTAATGCCATTATCAAAACAGGAGGAATGGGTTATGGTGGAAGACGAGTGTTGAGTGTCAGGCATGATAAATTGCGAAAAGGTCCTTGGAGTATTGCAGCTCAGAAAAAGATATATGGTTGCTAGAGATTTGGAACTAGTTAAAATATAGGTGATAGTTAAAGTCATGGATATATTAATATGGTGGTCTAAGGAGAGTTTTAGAACACGTTCCTCTTATCTTGCTCTATTTGTTTTCCGTAATGTTTATACCCTTCTAACATACTATATAATTTACTTATATATTCATATTGCTTTTGTCTGACTACTCTTTATATGACATATGCTTCGAGAGAGCAGGGATTTTCATCTGCTTTGTTCACTGCTATCACAGTTATCTAAACACACGTAAACAGAACAATTAGTTAACACATCCATCCCCTCACATAGTCACTTTTTCTGTGTATGTGTGTGGTGAGAATATTTAAGGTGGGAGTAAAGAGTTTTAGAGGAAAAAGGAAGTGGTCAGTAGGTCACATGCTGCTGAGAGATTAGGTAGGGTAAGGACTGAAAGTGTGTGGTAGATCAGGGAGTCAGGATATATGTGACCTTACCAAGAACAGCTTAGTAGCTTTACCTAGAAGTCATGAAAACTGGAATGCATGGATGGGTTGTAAGTTAGAGGTAAGTGAGAACTCCTCTTTGAAGAAATTTTTCTGTGAAATGCTTTATAGTTCAGGATAGTTTTATATAATATTAACTTCCCGTTTTCATAGATTCTTAATCTTTTAGGGGTGATGGAAAAGAGGAAAGGCAAATGATCAGTGCTACTTCTATACTTGAGAGCTTGACTTTGCTTCCTCCTCTGCATGGGTTCTGTGAATATCTTAACTGCTCCTTGGTTAATGTAAATTTCAGAAGGTCCTGAAATCAATTTAACTGTAATAGGACTTTATCAATAACTGAGCCAGGTGAAATGTTGAGGCTGTTTGTTTTCCTGACAGGTAGCCAGACTTTTATTAGAGATTGTTAGTGGGTGTGTATTTGTTATATTTTTATTCCTTTCAAAGAAAAAAATGTTTTCTAGGTAGCAGCAAGAGCACAATACAACACTCCACATGCCCTCTTGTTTCAGTCTGTCCTACAAACTACACAGGAAACGAAAGACATTAATCAATGCTAGAAAAGCCAAAAAAGCAGTGTTCTCCATGAGCATTACTGTGAATCTTTGCCAAATTGCCTCATGAAGTAGTAGAAGAGCAGAGGGCTGAGAAAGTGTTGAGTTTCAGCTCTGCCTCTAGCCCTGGGTAACCTTGAACCTTAACCTCTGTTTTTGTTTTCTATTTAGAATAAGGATGTAAGACCTGCAGAATTTGAAGTTCTCTTCTAAGCACTAATACTCTATAATTCATTGACCTAGTTCATCAAAGCTATATGAAGAATATATCCAACTTATTTCCCTTT